GGCGGATCTCTGCATGGAAAAAATCATTCGGTGACGGCGTTGAGCCAACCCCAGCATTTTAACCCTCCTCAGGTACATATGGCTTTCTTCAACTCATATTTACCCAAGATTTAACAACATATGTCAGCTAGAGGATGTCGTAGCAATTAAGAGTTTTGTCTTCTTTTTTTTTTTTTTGAAAAATTCTAAGTTTGAATTTAAAATGCATGAAAGGTTATTAACAATTTAAATAATTTAGTGGTCATTTCTTCTATTAGAAATAAGAGATCATGAATTCAGGTTGCGTAACATGTGGATACGATAAAATAAAAGATTAAAAATATTTGTCTCTCATTATGAAAAAAAGAGTTATGTCTTTCGTCCCTTTTTTTTTTTTTGAAAATTTTAAGTTCGAATTTAAAATGCATGAAAGGTTACTAATTATTTAAATAATTCAATTGTCATCTTTTTTATTAAAAATAAGAGGTCATGAATTCAGATCACATAACATATGGATATGATAAAATAACAGATTAAAAATAATTGTTTCTCATTATGAAAAAGAGTTATGTTTTGTTATATAATTTATTATCATATATAGAACAAAAACAAACGTATCAATATCTAATACTGGTCTCTAGGGAGGGTCCATGCAGAAACAAAATTTCGGAGGTCCAGAACCGGTGGCTATAAAACAACAAGTTCCTAATGCAAATGAGTCGAACAGTGTCACGGCGGGTCAGCCTAAACCAAGGGTCAGGGCTCGGAGAGGTCAAGCCACCGACCCCCATAGCATCGCCGAAAGAGTAAGTAATTACGCTAAGATATTGTATAAAACTAAACTGCATGACGAGAATAATTCTATTCTATTCTATCCCATCTGTATTCTGAAATGACACTGTTTGGCAGTTGCGCAGAGAGAGAATTGTAGAACGAATGAGAGCGCTCAAAGAACTCGTTCCCATTGCAAACAAGGTAGTGATTTAAAAAACAAAAAAAAAGTTTTTCTCAAATATGATTAAATTGTAAAACAATAATGCATTAGCCGTCGGAAAGGATCGAGAACTTTTAATCTAAGTACTTTTTTTTTTTTTCGACGAACTAAATAATTCAGTGGTTATCTCCTTTCATTAGAAGTAAAAGATTCTGAATTCGAGTCGCATAGCATGTGGGCGAAGTTGGATAAGAGATGAGAGATAGTTACCTCTTATTACGTAATCAATATCAAAAAAAAAATCTAAGTACATTTTTTTATGAATAATTAAGGGTGTTAATCCGTGTCAGAACTTGATTAGTTGTTTATTATGTGTGGGATGACAGACAGATAAGGCTTCAATGCTAGATGAGATCATCGGCTATGTCAAATTCCTACAGCTCCAAGTTAAGGTTCTCTTCTATATTTTAAAATGTTAGTACTATATGAAATTATTTAAATGTTTTTAATTAATTTATTAAAATTATTAAAATTATTTAATTATTTTTTTAATATTTTAATTGTTAGAACTTTTTAATTTTTTGTAATTTCTTAAATTAATCAATCACACATTCTATTCATTTTTAATAGATCTAATTTAATTTTTTAACTTTTTTAGATTTAAGTTTTAGATGAAAATTTGATCATTTATATGAACAAAAATTAAAGATTTTTTTTTATATATAGTTTTTGTTGAGTATTTTTATTTGATTTAAAAAAAATTTCAATAATCATTTATATAATATGTTAAACTTTTATATAAATTTCATAT